AGGTCATTTCAAAGGGGCTGAATTTTACGTTTCCCTTTGGGGCTGTTATTTTTAATAAGGCAATATGGAGGAGCTTGACCATGATTCCTAAGTCTCTTGTCATAACTTAGCCAAAGGTTTTTTAAGGCTTTGGTTCATTTTCTCAACTTTCCCAGAGGATTTGAGGATGTCAAGCAGAGTGAAGGTTGTATTGAATGCTGAGGCTCCTCGACAGCCCCTGGGTGACCTGGGCAATAAAAGAAGGCCTGTTGTCACTTCATAGGGAAGTTGGAAGCCCAAAGTTAGGAATGATTTCTTTAAGCAGCCATTTGCAAAGTTTCATGGCTTTTTCTGTTCATGTGGGGAAAACTTCTGCCCGGCCTGTAAATGTGTCTATGAAAACCAAGAGATACTTGAACCCACCCTTAGGGGACATCTGTGTAAAATCAATTTGCCAGTCTTCTTTGAGGTAGGTTCACCTATGCTGCATTGGGGTTGTTAGAGATGGGGCCAGTGGATGGCTGGAGGATTGTTTGTAAGGCAAATTTCACTTGCTGAAGTTACCTGGTTCACTGTGGATTTTAGAGCTTTACCCACTAGGAGATTTTGGATAAAATTCCATAGAGAGTCCCTCCCATAATGTATTGCCTCACCAAGGCTTCTGATGATTTTCCATTGATCAGCCTCTGGTAGGAAGAAGTTTCCCTAATGATTTTCCAACCACCTCTGACTGTTTAGATGGTACCCTTTCTCTTCTGCCGGCTTTTGCTCTGTTTGATTATGTTGGGGATTTGAGGGCAAGGTGGAGGGCCCTACTACAAGGGCAAATGTATCAAGTTGTCCCTCCCGTGCTACCTATTTGGCAGTTCTACCAGCCTCGTTGTTTTGCTGGCTGTTCATAAAATTGTTTTTCTGATGCCCTTTGCAGTGTATAACAGCTATTTGGGCAGGGAGCTGGACTACTTTAAGAAGAGACAAAATCACCTCCTTATGTTTTATGGGGGAGCTCCTAGCAGTTAGCATTCCCTTCTCCTTCCAGACAGCTTGTATGAGCATGAAGCACCAAGAATCCGTACTTAGAATCAGTATATATATCGAGTCTTTTTCCTTCCCCAAGCTGCAGAGCCCTAGCCAAAGCTCTAAGCTGCTTCTTGAGCTGAAGTGCTTGGGGGAAGTGCTTGCTATGTGGTCTGGTTTAGACTGACAATAGCATATCCTGCCCTGTCGACTCCGTTGTCTATGAAGCTACTTCCATCTGTAAACCATTATTCACCTGGGTTTTCTAAGGAGGATTCCTGCAGATCCATTTGGCTAGATTAGTTCTGTTCTAAAGTCTTTACTTAGGTGTGCTCCAACATTTTAGGAGTGTACGATGGAAGCGAACTGGCAGGATTTGGAGTCTGGCATACTTTTCAGGCCAAGTCTGGGGTGTCTAACAGTAAGGCTTGGTGTTGAGTTAGCCTGCCTCTGTTAACCAGTGGTGCCCCATTATTTCTAGCACTTCGTGGACCTGGTGAGTGGTATCAACCTCAAGGGGCTGGCCTAGTGTAAGTGTGGAGGCTTCTTTAAGAGGCTGGTGGCTGCCACTGTTCTGAGGCAGCCAGGCCACCCCTCAGCTGCTGGGTCTAATTGTTTTGAGAAATGAGCCATTGGCCTCTGGACAGGCCCTGGTTTCTGGACTAGGACCTCTACGGCTTAACCAGACCTCTCATGTACAAAAAGGATAAAAAGGTTTCTTTAAATCTGGGAGTACTAGGGCAGGGGCTGGTCCTAGCTCAGACCTCAGGGTTTCATAGGCTTGCTGGCAAGCCTCGTCCTAGTGGAATAGTTTTTTTTTCCTACCCTTGAGTGCTTTATAAAGGGGATTAGCAATGAGGTCAAAGTTTGGGGTCCAAATCCTGCAAAAGCCAGGCATCCCTAGGAATCCTCACAGCTCCCTTCTGTTGCTGGGAATGAGTAGTGAAGCACTGACCAGCTTCTGGTCTGGGGCAAGCATTCTAGCTCCTGGAGTAAGTATGAATCACAGATACTGGACCTGTGTTTGAGACATCTGGGCCCTTGATGAGGAGACTTTATATTCAGCTAAGAAATTCAGGTCTTAATAGTATTTTTCTGAGAACTATGGAAATCCTCACGGGTGATGAGCAGATCATCAACATATTGCAGTAAGGCTTCCCTTGTTAGTGTAAGGTCTGTCTGTAAGGTCTTCTGCAAGGGCTTGCCCAGAGAGGTGGGTCCTATCTCAAAACCTCTGGGGCAGCACAGTGTTCTCCATTTGGTTTTTTCATAAGCAGGATTGGAGTGTTAAAAGGGGACTGGCAGGGCTGGACTAGCCCATGTTTTGGGAATTTTTCCAAGAGGGGCCGTATTCCCTGTAAAGCTTCCAGCCTCAGAGGGTACTGGGGTTTGCCATGGGTATGGTATGCTGGGCTTACATTTTATTTTAACAGGCTCAGCATTGATGGCCCATCCTGGAGTGTTAGCGTCCTATACGAACTCTTTCACTTGAGCCTGTATTTCTTCCAGAATAGGGGATAGTCTCTGACTCTGGAAAGCCAAAAGGGCCAGCAAATGGATTCCCTTTTCAGGGAGTACCGAGACCCCCACGGTGTCCCCCTTGAGGGAAACTGAGACTCCCAATTTAGATAATAAGTCCCAACCTAATAAAGGAAGGGGACACTCAGGGACATATAGGAAGGAATGCGTGGTAGCCTTAGATCCAATTTCACATGTTAAAGGAAAGATAAGCTGTCTTACCTTCAGTTGGTTCATCTGTTCCTGTCACTGCACAGTTGGCACTGGAGAGAGGTCTAACAGGCTGGGTCAGGACAGAGTAGGCGGCTCCAGTATCCAAAGGGAATTCGGTTTTCTTACCTGCCACGTTGAGTGAACCGAGTCTCCACAGTGGTGATGAAAACGGAATCCTTTAGGGCTGGAACCAGGTGAGCTCTTGGCCCCCCTCAGCAGGAGAGGTAGCCTTCTCATTTGAGAGGCTAGCGATAAGAGAAGTGGGCTGGGGAGGTCCCCTCCAGCCCAGCTTCCCATAGAGGAGTGGACAGTTCTTCCAGTGCCTCTCCTTACAGTGTGCTCGTAGGTTGCGCTGCAGTACTGCCAATGCCGACTGGAGTTTAGTTACCCCTTGACCAGGGTTCCTCTGCTGCTTAGGGTCACCTCGAGGAGGGCCTGTAATTATGGCAGCCAAAATCTTGCCTTTCTTTTCATTCTCTCATCTTTTCTTCCTTCTCTGCCAGGTCCTGATTGTTATAAACTTTTGGGCCTCTGCTACTGATGTTGTCTGAAGAGTCTGGGGGCTAGTTTCCAGCTTTGGAGCTCTCTCTGAATATCTGGCACGGCTTGGGTTATGAAGTGCATAGCCAGAAGTGTTTGACCCTCAGCAGTCTTTGGGTCTGTGTTAGTATATTTTCTGAGAGCCTCAGAGAGCCCGTTAAGCTGGATATTCGGCCCTTTCCTAAGTATTCTCTCTCACTCTTTCGTAGTTTACTGGTTTGGTTTGGCATTTTTCATTCCCTCTGATATACAGTTAAAGAAATGGTTCATCCTTAACTGATCTCACCTATGTTCATAAATCCACTGGGGGTTTTGCTTGGGGACTGCCTCACCAGATGCCCGGTATACAATGTGGCCGGGATTAGACCTGGCAAAACTGATTTCTCCCCCTGGAGGTTTCTCCCAGCCTCTCTCAGAAGCTCAGCAGGACAGTTGCTAGGCAGGCTTTAAAGTCTTTCCCTGTTCTACAGCCACCAAGCCACAAGCAACAGGTCCTGGACAAGACCCCAGATTGTTAACAAACCTGCAAAGGATGGGGGGCGGTTCCCTGTGTTGCTCACCTCACAGAAGGCCAATTACTGAGACAACAAGGACTTTCAAGGAAGAAAGGAGATTTATTGTGGAGGATGCATCAGCTGGGAGGTGGGAGGAATGGACTGCCTCAAATCTGACTCCCCAACCAATGGCATCAGGGGATTTTCTGGAGATGAAATGAATAATGCATGAAGTGACTGAGCATCATTGCATGTTTGGAGTGGAGTGCAGGGCACGCAAGCACAGTGAGAAGTCATGCTAGTACATATATCACATGATCAAAAATGGCAGATAAGTCCCTCCCAGTGTGGGGATTTTAGTAGTATAATGAGCTAGGGGTTAATATTGGCCATTCTTTCATCCTTGTGCACAGGCGGGATGTGGGGAATAGTTTGCTTGGTGGGTCCTTGGGCATGATCTGTGTGGTGGGGTGTCTCTTATCTTGTCTTTTCTGGACAAATAGGTGGTGTAAGCCTTTATAGTTACCTCATGGCTGCAAGGAGGTTTTGCTGTTTCTGGGGAAAACAACTCAAAAGGGAATGCATCAGTTCAGTTAGAAAGTTACAAAGTTCTGGTCAGCAAATCTTACTGGCTTGGAAATTTAAAACATAAGAGAACTATAAAAAGGCATTTTTGCTTATGGAGCCAGTTATATAACCATACTTCAAATTTGTAGTGATACGTTAATGAGGTGCATTTTCGAGGGCAGACGGGATCCGGCACGGTCAGGGCGGGGTGGCAGCAGACCATTTTCGACCTAAGATATTTAAAATGGGTTTATTAGGATGTAACCCCATTGTAAGTCAAGGAGCACCTGTAATTTTAAATAATTAATATTTTAATATGTTAAGAACATGGACTCTGGTGCTTGCTTTTGCCACCTATTAGCTCTGTGAACTTGGCAAGTTGGCTAAGCCCTGTGCTTCATTTTCTTTTTTGTAAAATGTGACTAATATTAGTACCAACCTTAGGGTTGCTGTAAGGTTCAAAAGAGTTAATACATGTAAAGTACTTAGAACAAAGTATACAATAAGTACACAGTGTTAGGTTGAACCACATGAAATTGCCACTATTTGTCCTGTTTTTTTTTGACTTACCCTAAATGACAGTTTCACATAGTTCAACCTAATAGTAACAACTTACATTAACTTTTAAGAAATTAATTTTTGTTGTTACTGTTGTTGAATTAAAATCACGTTATGGGTGTGATTTACTGACTAAAATTCATTGAATCAGTATGACCACGGGTAGTGTCTAGGAAACTAAATTAAAACCAGCAGCATTCTCCGTAGGTGTCTGAGCTGAAGAATCAGGTTTAGGAATTCTTGACTTACAGTATTGCTCAAAAGACTTTTTATAGTACAAAGGGAATAACGTTGACAATTACTAGAATGAGTTTGGAGAGGAATTTTGCTTGAGGATGAATCATACCTTGAGTCTCATCCATATCTGATTTAGGTGATATTTAGACGAGCCTTTGAACTTTAGATTTTAGGGTTGGTGATGGAATGAGTTAAGACTTTTGGGGCTGTTGGGATTTTGCATGTGAGAAAGACATGAATTTTGGGGGCCAGGGATGGAATGCTGTGGACTGAATTGTGTCCTCTCCAAATTTATATGTCGAAGCCCTAACCCCTAATGTATTGGAAGATGACGCCTTTGGGAGATAATTAGGTTTAGATGATGTCATGAGAGTGGGGCCATCATGATGGGATTAGTGCCCTTAGAAGAAGAGATACCAGAGCTTGCTCTCTCTCCCCACCCCACCGTGTGGGGACATAATGAGAAGGTGATTGTAAGCCAAGAAGAGAGACCTTACCAGACACTTAATCATATTGGCACCTTGATCTTGGACTTCTGGCATCCAGAACTGTGAGAGAATAAATTGCTGTTGTTTAAGCCACCAATCTGTGGTATTTTGTTATGGCAGCCTGAGCTAAGACATCTAATTCTTCCCTCTAATTCTTTGTATCATTGCTGTCATTCATTTCACTTATATATAAGCATACATAAACATGCATGTATTTATGGAGATATGTATATATACACACACATATAAGCATACTTAATGAATACTTTGTTGCTGTTATTATTTTGTGCAAACTTAGCTGTTAAATTAAGAGGAAAAATGAAAGTTTTTATTTTACTTTCACTTATTCCTTCTCCAGTGCTCTTCCTTTTTTTTTTTTTTTTTTTATGTAGATTGGCATTTCCAGCCTAAATTATATCCTTCTCTCTGAAGAATTTTTTTTAGCATTTCTTGCAAGGCAGGTTTACTGGCAACTGATTCCCTCAATTATTATTTGTCTGAGAAAGTCCTTTTTTCTCTTTCACTTTTGAAGGATAATTTCACAGGATATACAACTTTATATCTGTGGTGTTTTTATAGTGGTATTTTTCTCTCAACACTTTTAATATTTCACCGCACTCTCTTCTTGCTTCTATGGTTTGTGAGGAGAAGTCAGATGTAATTCTCATCTTTGCTCCTCTGTAGGTAAGTATCCCCTTGGCTTCTTTTAAGATTTTTTTTCTTAATCTTTGATCTCTTAATCTTTTCTTAATCTTCCGTAATTTGAATATCATATACTGAAATATTGTGGCTTTTTGATATTCATTCATTCATTCATTCATTCAGGCATTTATCCTGCTTGATGTTCTCTGGTCTTCGTGGATAAGGGGTTTAGTGTCTAACTCTAACATTAATTTGGAGAAATTCTCAGTCATTGTTCTTGAAATATTAATACTTCTGTTCCTTTCACCACTTCTGGTAGTCCCATTATGTATATGTTACATCTTTTGTAGTGTTCCCACAGTTCTTGAATATTCAGTTCCATATTTTCCAGTCTTTATTTGCTTTTCAGTTTTGAAGGTTTCTGTTGACACATCCTCAAGCTCAGAGATTCTTTCCTGAGCCATGTCCAATCTACTAATGAGCATTTTTCATTTGTTATAGTGTTTTTGATCCTCTAGCATTTGTTTTTGATTTTTTCTTAGAATTTCTACATTACTCATCTCCTCTTGCATGTTGTCTACTTTTTGTATTAGAGCCCTTATCATTTTAATCATAGTTTTTAGACATTCCTGGTCTGATAATTTCAACATTCCTGCTTATCTGACTCTGGTTCTGATGCTTGCTTGGTTTCTTCAGACTGTGTGTTTTCCCTTTACTATGCCTTGTAACTTTTTCTTTTTTCTTTTTTTGAGACAAGGTCTCACTCTGTTGGCCGGGTTAGAGTGCAGTGGTGTGATCATAGGTCACTCTAACTTTGAATACCTCAGCTCAAGTGATACTCCCACTTCAGCCTCCGAAGTAGCTAGGACTACAGGGCCGTGCCACCACGCTTAGCTACTTTTTTAAAATTTTCTTTCTTGTAGACATGGGGTCTCACTATGTTGCCCAGGCTGGTCTCAAACTCCTGGGCTCAAGAGATCCTTCTGCCTTGGCTTCCCATAGTGCTGAGATTATAGGCGTGAGCCACTGTGCCCAGCCTAATTTTTTTTTAATAGCCAGAAGTGGTGTCCTGGGTGAAAGGAACTACAGTAAATAGGCTTTTAGGTGTGGTGCAAGAGGAAGCATTCTATAGTCCTATGATTAAGTCTCAGTCTTTTAGTGAGCCTTGCCCCTAGACTGTGAACTTCACTAGAGCTTTCTCAGTTTTTGCCCTCCTTAGGTTGGACAAGATGGCTAGAGAGGGCTGGAGTTGTGTATTTCCCCTTTCCCAGGTCAGCAGAACTCTGATAAAACCACAATAGGTTAGGCTTTGGTAAAATAGTTTCTCCTGAGGGCAGGCCTCATTAAGAAGAACCCGAGTGCTCTGGGCTTATTATTTCAAAGTGATTACTTTAATTCTCTCCCTGCCAGAAGTACCAGGGTATTTTTCTCAAAAATTTACTGCGAGAACTTGGTAGAATGCCTCCCTCCCCCACGACAGGTTCCTCCTGGAGTTTTTAACTCTCAGACTTGTCCACACTGAGCCTCCAGCAATTTGTCAATTATGGTTCAGGTTTTCCTCTTCTAGCAATGGTTCCAGCACGGCTTTTTTCCTCTGGTTCTGGTGGAGGTTCTGGTGGTTCTGGTTCTGCTCTTGTAAGTTGTGAGTTGCTGTACCTGCCTGTCTGCCTCGCCAGGTTGGGGGGCAATAGTTTGCCTGTCACTTTGCTTCTCTGCTGGATCTAAGAAGAGTTGGTGGTTTTTCGGTTTGTTCGGCTTTTTACTTGTTGTTAGGATGAAGTGGTGACTTCCAAGCCCCTTACGTGCCTCATCGGTCCCTTCTATTCATCTTTGCTTCCCAGAAGAACTTAACCTATTGCCTGTTTTATCCTTTTTATAACGTGTTCCTTCATTTTTCCCTCCTGAGATACTCTTACTGAGGCTGCCAAGACTTGTTTATTTCCTGGATATCTGTACCATTGAAATTATACTGTCTCCTCCTCTTCAACCGAACTGACTGCCTTTTAACGGGACCCTTTAACTTGGCTGAATTTGGGCCAAGTAAATTAGCTGCCAGTCAGGTACCATTGTGTTAGTCACATCTACTTTTTCTTTGACTGGGAGAGCATTTCATACTGTCTTGAGTGTGTGGCAAATTTAGTTTATGCCTATTTCTTGCTTAAATTGTTAGGACTTATTACACTGAGTTGTGCTATATTTGCCTCGCTACTTTGTTAACTCCTTGAAGTCAAGAACCTTCCCTTTTACACTGTTCTTTTCTTTGTGCTTGCGATAAAAATGCTTGTTAAATGTGGGATGATGGATATCATTTACAGAGTTAGGATGTAGAAATCCTAATTTAATAGTTTGGGAATATTTTATTTCTTAACATGTATATGTATCTTATTTATTTTTTTTTTTTTGAGACAGAGTCTCACTGTGTTGCCCGGGGTAGAGTGCCGTGGCGCCATCCTAGCTCACAGCAACCTCAAACTCCTGGGCTCAAGCGATCCTCCTGCCTCAGCCTCCCGAGTAGCTGGGACTACAGGCATGTGCCACCATGCCCGGCTAATTTTTTCTATATATTTTTAGTTGTCCAGTTAATTTCTTTCTAATTTTAGTAGAGATGGGGGTCTCGCTCTTGCTCAGGCTGGTTTCGAACTCCTGAGCTCAAACAATCCGCCCGCCTCGGCCTCCCAGAGAGCTAGGATTACAGGCGTGAGCCACCGCGCCCGGCCTGTATCTTATTTTAAAATATACATTTTCGAATGGTAGGCAGTAGCGATATCTAGCATATTTATACAATACCCAGCCCAGGTCTGGTGTGTGTGTTTCCTGTGTTTTACAGATGGAGTACACAGAGTGTTGTATGTTGCTCATGGATTTGTGATGTCCTTGGGATCATTATATTTGACATATTTCCTTTTCTTAAAAATACTGTTTAATTGCATGTATAAATGTACATAGATTAGAGGTACTAGAAATTTAAGACTATAATAATATACCCTAGATGATGGATATATTTTAGGGCTTAAGTCAGATTTTGTTAGAAGTCAGATTTTTGTATTATTAATATAGCTTAATTAACTTATTATGTTGCTTTTTGTGTTTTTGCAGACTGTTCTCTCTGTATAAGAAAATTTCTATCCTATAAAACTCAATGTCCAACTTGTCGTGTGGTGAGTTTTTCTTTTTCTAACTTATCGATTGATTGGTGCAAATATTTCTGCTTTATCTACATGCAAAAGCCCATGGGAAGATGTGTTGTTATTGAAGTACTTCTGAAGTACATGTAAGGAGAATTGGGCTTTGTTGAATTTTTCATTAAGATTACTCATAACCTAAATGTATTTTTAGGAAATAAAAACTAATTTTAAGATCAGGATGTAGCACTCTTTAATATTTATGACCTATGTTTTTGTGGCTCCTAATTTTTTATTATTTCTCACCTTTGGCAGAAACTGATGGTATGATTATTCAGTTGCATAGGACTGGTCTAAGTATTTGTGCAGAAGGCAAACATTCATGGCCGTTGGGCTTAACCCAGCCTAACGGGTAGCCTTACCTCTTTCCCCAACCAGATCTTAAGGGAAAACACTGGGAAATTTGTCGTTGTAGTTTCTGAACCTTTACAATTAGTAGGAACGGGTGGAAACGTAGATTAAAAGGGAAATTAAACATAAGTGGAAATAAAATGAGAAGAGGCAGTGAGATCTAACAGAAAAGATATTGGGACTAGCTAGAGGGTTTGACTAGTTTGGCTGCTTCGGTAGGTATGTGGTGTCAGGATGTCATTAAACTTGTCTGAACTATTTCCGTATGTAAGAAATTGTGCAGTTTGTCTCCCAAATCTAAGATCTTTACAATGATGCTATACTGCCTTTGTCAAGATGATATCACTGAGGTAAACTGTGTATTCATGCTAAATAAGTACTGGATTTGTCATTTTTCTCTTGCATTCCTGAAAACCAATCTTATTTTTAAACTCTCTATGAACACTTAATGCTTCTCCCAATGTTACTACTTAAAAGAACATCTCTCTTCTGTTTTTCAGGAGAAATTTTTGGGGAAGCTGAGTGCTGGCATTTTGAAGAAAGATTCTTGCTCATGTTAGGTTTTGTCTTAGTGCTGAGTATATACGATTTTAACAGATGCTTTGGAGAGTTTTTTGTCAGACTTCCAGTCAGCAGATACCAATTCACTATTTTGAAATTCCATATTAGTATGAGATAAATTAAATTTATTTTGAGGCTTTCCTGGAAGACTTAGTGGGATGGAGAGCCTCAGGAAGACGGGTCAGACATTTTCAAAAACAAGATTATGACAAGTTAGTTATCGTTTTTGATCTTTTTCTATCTGTTTTTTTTTTTTTTTCTAGGCAGTCACAGAGCCGGACCTGAAAAATAACCGCATATTAGATGAACTGGTAAAAAGCTTGAATTTTGCACGGTATGATTTAATTCTGTGACTAACCTCTAACTACTTTTGCTTTTTATATGTGTTCTCACTTTACTCTGTGCACTTTTGGATTAGGAAATGCAGGATTGCATCTTTTGGAGTAAAAGAAGGGAAGCGACAGTCATTCACACATGGAAAATCTAATAGTAATAAGATTTTCTTCCTTTACTTAACAGAAATTCTCCTGTTATAAAGAACAATTAAGAGTCAAAATGCAGATTTGAGGCCTTCTTTACTTTTGGGTGCCAGGATACTCCTTGTTTATCTTGTATTTTACCTGCCCTAGCCCTAGAATCAGCCATTTCTCCAAAGAGCTCCTTTTATTGGAGAATGTCATTTAGTAACCAGGATCTGGTGCAGAGTATGCTTGTTGCTACTGGGGTGTCATTGCTTCTAGGCTCTTTAAGTGGACAGAGCTAGGTAATATATATGTGTATGCATATATGTGTGTTAACCCATGTATATGCACATAATCTATAATTGGTTCTGTTATATATTAACCCATTAATTCTTAATCTGATTAACTCAGCATGTATTAAATGATGTGCTACATGAAATATGTAATTGCTTGCACTTTATAAAGCTCAGATATGCAGTTTTACCTCCTAGCTGTCAAATGCATGAATGTGTGAGTTTGGTTACCCAAAGGGATATTAAAAGGCATGTTTTGCCAAACAATATCTTGAATTATTTTTAGTTTTAATCATACAAGTCAAGCAAGAATTTTTATTAAGAACATATTGTGTTTAGATAACAGGTGCCTACATAGTTAAGTACAGTCATGCGTTGCTTAACAATAGGGATTCATTCTCAGAAATGTGTCAATAGGTGACTTTGTCGTTGTGTGAATATTGTAGAGTGTACATAAACAAACCTAGATATAGCTTACTACATACCTAGGCTACATGATATAGCCTATTGTTCCCAGGCTACAAACCTGTACAGCATGTTACTATACTGAATACTGTAGGTAATTGTAACACAATGGTATGCATTTGTGTATCAAAACGTATCTACACATAGAAAAGGCACAGTAAAAATATGGTATAAAAGATAAAAGTGGCACACCTGTATAGGGCACTTACCATGAATGGAGCTTACGGGACTGGAAGTTGTTCTGGGTGAGTCAGTGAGTGAGTGGTGAGTGAATGTGAAGGCCAGGACATCACTGTACACTACTGTAGACTTTATAAACACTGTACACTTAGG